AGCCAATGTTTAATAGTCTTGTCAAATCTTATTAGGTATTAGGATTCTAATTTAAATGCTGACAACGTGTCAATTACCCTAGAGACCATTTAGTTTATTGCGTTTTCCCTTCACCTCAATCCTCTCCAGGTAGTGTGCATTAGGATTGTGATGGAGGTTTACAAATATTGTTGTTCAGCAATTCCTACAGACTTCAGTAGGCAATTATGGACAAATGAGGGCCTAAACTCTGGATCCTTAAAAATAAACGAACTGCCCATATTTGAATAAAAGACATAACATTCTGTGGGCAAAGGTTTCCAGCCCTGGGTGTGAAAGCCAGCTACTTCTACTTGCCAAGAATCTCTTTGACACATTAATCTTTTTGCAGAGAACGTTTTTGACCTTTCCAATGTTTGCATAAGAAAAATGAAGCACAGATGTTTTCAGAAAAGGGAACCAATTGTCTTCAGCCCCACATTATCAGAGGAGTGAATTTGTCAGTCTACGAAAAAGTGATTCTTAGTGATTAAGAATGTAGAAGTGAATCTGTTTTTTCTCATTTATAAGAAGTTGAAACTAAGAGACACATCTGCAAGTCAAATATTAATCAATTAATTAGCAAGTATTTGCTGAGTCTGTACTTTGAAATAAGTGGTATGCAGAACAGGGACCTGGAGCATTTTTAGTGATACAGAAAGAAGAGAAGAGGAGAAGATGTAATCTTCTGACCTAAGGAAACTTATGAGAAAGTCAGGCAAAAAAGACACACCCATGGAAAGGTAGCAAACAATTCAAGCATAAAATGGGAAGAGTTGATAATCCTGTTATAAAATTAGACAGCTAAGGGGAAAGAATGGGAATTATCAAGGCCTAGATTGGTCAGCAAAAGCTTCAGGAAGATGATTCTTAAAAGCTGGAATTTGGAAGGATAGGATTCAGAAGAATGGGGACTCTGGGATTGAGCATGAAGAAAGGAGGGAGGCAGGAAAGTGATGGAGAATTTAGGAACAGCACATAGACTACTGTATTTTTTTAGTACAATTGAAAGTTGACAGCTCATTCTTTCAGAGGGCAGCAAATGGGGGATGATCTATGCAAAATGATCCTGGAAATAAATGTGATGATAACTTTAAATGACCATCATGTATAATTGTTCTAGATAAGACTCTTTTGTTGACAAAGAACAGAAGCCACTCACACTAACTCAAGGGAAAGGGGAATGGAAGAACTATAAGATTGTAACAGGAGATCTCTTGTACATTCAAAAGTAGTTCATGAGCCGGGAACCAAGGACCCTCTGTATGATGTGAGGCCACATCATCCTAGCTTCTTCTTTTATGTCTGCCCCATTCTTTCTCTTTCTCTCAACCTACCTACTCTGTTTATTTATCTTGCAAATGGTTAAAATATGGTTGCCCTGATCCCTTCCTCGACATCAAAGTCTTTTATTTCCAGCATCTATCACTGACTGACTATATCCTCTTTATTTTTTAATTTAAATGCTTAAGAGAAAGAAAGACTTTTTAGTAGCTGGCCAGAAAGTTCATTGGCTGGTTTAGATTGAGTATCTATTCCAGCCTAACCAACCATCACTCCTAAACAAGAACCACCCAGTGGTGTCTCTCTGCATTGGGAGCTCTGGGCAGAGCAGTCTAAACCAGAAGAAGAAATGACTGATATGTTCCATGCTCTATAGAACCATTGGACTTCCAGAGAACATTTGGTATGTTCCATACACATTTGGGAAACATCTGGTCTGTTTCTTTGCCTCTAGGAAGGACTTACCCAAAGCTTTCTTCTGAAAGAGCTGTGGTATCCTTAAAAGAGTTGGTCCTAAAGTGAATACTGACTTTACCACCTCTGAAACTATCTGAGCTTCAATTTGTCACCTGTAGAATGGAGATAATAGCACCTACCAGTTGGAGTTGTCTAGAACACAAATGAGATAATGTAGACACTCTTCTCTGCTTGGCACACGGCAAGAGCTTGGTAAATGGGATTTCTTAAATTTCTCTGATATTTTATGAATATTCCATAACAGAAAATTATTTACAATGTACTTTTACTTATTTTTTAATTGCACAATTGATATATGAATATATTTGAATATTTTAAAGCAAATCCTAGACATTATATTATTTCACCAGTAAATATTTAAGGGTGTGTTTTTAATAAAAAAGTCTTTTTAAAAACACAGAACCACGATACCATTATCACACCCAATACATTAAAAATAATTCGTTGGTATCACCAGTACTAAATCTATGTTTGATTTTTCTCAATAGTCTCAAAAGTATCTTTTTATGGTTGTTTGGTTTGAATTAAAATTCAAAAGGAGTCTATATGTTGCACTTGATTGATATGTCTTGCACATCTCAGTCAGTCTATAACCATTCTCTCTGCTTTTTTATGCCATATACTTGTTGGGAAAAAATCAGGTCATTATTCTTGTAGAATTTTCCAATTCAGGATTTGTATCTTCATGGCATCCTTTAGGAGGTTCTTCTATCCCCACATTTCCTGAAAACTGGTACATAGATCTAGAGGCTTAATTAGATTTAGATTCAAATTATTTTTCTGGAAAAACTATAAAAGAAATGTTTTTATACTATCTTTTATGTTTTAAAAGTTGTGAATTTGAAATAGCAGCTCAATAATTCCCACGGCATTTTGCATTTAGGAATACAAGGTTCCCGAGAGAAGGAGGTAAATCATTCACTCTGGTTTCTGACTTATGCGTGAGTGAATCACTTTCACTTGGAGAGTTAATGGTACTTATGACTGCTATCTGCTAGAAAATGCAGATGAAAGTAATAATTACCACTTTACCTCTAATCAATTTATTAGGGATGTCTTTAGTCATATACATCTTTGGCTGAAGATGTTCACATACCTTTAATTAAAGATATCAATTCCTTGCCTACATTCTAAACTAGGAATAAAAATTTTTGAAATTACTAGTGCCTAGAGAAAGTGCCAGAAGAAAATAGAACTTCCTTTGAAATTTTTATCTTTTTAATAATTGTTTAAAATGAACTAATACAAATTATCGATGGAAAAGAAAACTACAGGTACACTGAAGCAGGACTATAGTGTTGTTCTGGAGTGCTGGGGATGTCTGATAAGTAATCGTCCTCTCTTCCCTACTTGAGCTGGGAACAGAGAGCTAGATAAAGAAATCAGACAGACGATGATAAAAATAATTGCTTCTATGTCTGATAAAGCTGTTTGGAGAATGTGACTTAGGTCCATAGCAATAATGAACTTGCAGACACTCTGGTCTTCTGTATTAGATGTGCCATTCCCCTAGTCAGGGACAGTAAGACAACCAGAGGCCTCTCTGAGCTCAGTGCACATGCCAGGTTCTCTTTCCCAAACTCACCACTTCGTAACTCACTCCCCCTTCCCTGGCAGGAGGAGGCAAGTGAGTGAGGAGTCAGGGTGCAGCCAAGAGTGGTAACTCAATGGAGGTTTAGTCAACAGGGAAACAAGTGGAAATAGGTGTTTCTCCTTCACTGAGGTCCATGATATAAAAGAATATCATAGGTAGAACCCAGTTTCAACACAGCATTTTCAGCAATGAGCACCCTCAGATTTAGTTGGTCCCAAATCATATCAACTTCCACACTATAGCAGCTCATGTTCAACTGAACAAACATTTGTGGAGTGTGTGCAAATCACAGTGCTGGCAGATGCCAAGATGGAAAAAGACACTTTTTGCCCACCAGAGGCTCACCTTCTAGTGGGTTCTCAGACAAGTGCACACAAAATAGGTGTGCAGCCCACTGTACTAGGCATTGTGGCAGACATGGAGATGCTCTGCTCAGACCTCCCTTAAGAAAAGAGTCACTGTCCAGCTGTAGGGACTGTGGTTAGCTGACAGCCTCCCGCTGTCAGCTCCTTCAGGGTCCACTTCAGCTTTCAAGCTATGGTCATGCTCTTCTTGGGCAGTTCCTGCCCAGTGACTGAACCAGGTAGTGACTGGGGTGACACTCTTTGTGGTTGGCCCCAGCCAATGACTAAGCAAGGTAGTGATACAAGAGCCTGGCCATTTCCACCCAAGACAGGACTCTGCTGGGCAATGTTTGCTCCCGAGCTCCCCATCAGGCTGGTGTAGGGTGACCAGCTGTCCAGGTTTGCTGGGACTGAGACATTTCTCAGAATGTAGGACTTCCACTGCTAAAACTGAGAAATTTCCAGGCAAACTAGGATGGTTGGTCACCGTTGCTGGTGTAGACCTTGTTAGGTCTGCATCAGGGTCTGACAGCTCCCTCTGCCCAATCCTGCTTCCTCTCCTTTTTCCTTTCACAGGTATTACTCTCCACGAAACTTTTTGTCCTGCTGACTTCACCTCAGTGTCTGCTTCCCAGAGCACTCGACCTAAGACAGGGGCACGTATAGCACAGAAACCAGGAAGGACCTAAATAGCGCACGATGAGGCTGAAAGAGGGTAGGAGGGCAGGGGAAAGATTAATTTGACAATTACAGGGATGCTTCTGTGGATAACTTTTTCAGTGGACTATTTGTTCTGCATCCTTTGAAAAACAGAAGAGGCATATGTAAATACTCAAGGACTTAAGATTCCTTAGACTGCATTTGAACACTCAAAATGAAGACTTTGCCAAAAAAAGCCAACCTTCTTGTCTCTGTGCCTTGTTTAAACATGCTTTGTTATTAATTTCCATGATTTAAGAAGAAAAATGAAGGAAACTTTTCTGAGAAGATTTTTAAAATCAAGAGAGAATGTGGGCAGAATGTTACTGCTGGAGAAAGGCAAAGGCATCCTTCAGGGCCGGGACTAGGATAAGGTGAGCAAGGTGCTTAGAATGCAACATTTAAGGAAGCACTCACTGTCAGGGTTGTGTGAGTTCAGAGTCAGCACTTGCATGAACCTGAGAATGAGCATCTCTTTAAATACTGCACCCCAGCTGCCTCGCTTGCCTCACCCTAGTCCTGGCCCTGGCATCCATAGTAATATTAGGCAACTTACATAGAAAGTTCTCTCTTTCCTGCCCCAGGTACAAAGCCATTGTCCGGCCAATGGATATCCAGGCCTCTCATGCCCTGATGAAGATCTGCCTCAAAGCAGCATTGATCTGGGTCATCTCCATGCTTCTGGCCATCCCAGAGGCTGTGTTTTCTGATCTACATCCCTTCCACGAGGAAAGCACCAACCAGACCTTCATTAGCTGTGCCCCGTACCCACACTCTAATGAGCTGCACCCCAAAATCCACTCCATGGCTTCCTTCCTGGTCTTCTACATCATCCCACTGTCCATCATCTCTGTCTACTACTACTTCATTGCCAAAAATCTGATCCAGAGTGCTTACAATCTACCTGTGGAAGGGAATATACACATCAAGAAGCAGGTGGGTGCTTAGGAGTAACTCATTTTCTCCCTGGGGATTTGATCCCTTGCATTTCTTTGACTTCACTGACAAGTACAGTATTTAGGTGGTCACTTGATTCTGCAATTAGAGGAGGTGGGTGATCTGCGGCCAGATGGTAAATGGAAAGTCCCAGTCACAGAAGCCCGGGAATTCAGGTGTTCTTTATAATCTTGTTCTCTTATTAAAGACCTAAGCTAGCGAGGTGTTGAGAACCTGAAAGATTTGAGTATGGGTTTCTTTTTGAGACATGTCTGAAAAAGTGTTTTTGTTTAAAAAATAAACTGTTGAGGCTCATAGGGATGTGACTTTTTTAAACTCTGATCATGTTGTTTGGATAGGAAGAGAGTCACCACATGGGGACAAAGCAGAGGGGGCAGGAAAATGAGGCTGGTTGAAGAAAAAGAAGTAGTTTGATTAAGATAGGTTCACATCCATCTGAGTTCAAATCCAGGCTTCATGACTGACTTACCCTCTCTGAGCCTCAATTCTCTTATCCATGATATAGGATAATAACCTCTATATGGTAAGGCTGTTGGAGGATTACAGGAGAGAGCATATGTACCTGTAGAGTGTCCAGAAAGCGGGATGCCTCCATATGTGTTAGACTCCCTTCCCCATCCCCCAGAACCCCCATAATTTCATCCTTGAGGTATGAATAGTAGAAACCAGGGGCTCTGCCTTTCTCCTCAGTTCTTGCCTTCCAGTCCAAATGTAGATTGTGTGGTATTTATGATGAAAAAGCAGAAAGACTTCCCATCCATTTAAAGGTATAGCTGACTCAGTTGGAGGCTTCACCTTTCAAAGTTCTTTTTTGTTTCCATCAATTGTGGGAGGAGAAGTGGCAGTACTCAGTGAAACTGTCTCCCTACTTAAAGACCTCTCGATAGTGAACACCCATTGTACCCCAAATTCTTTAATGAGAAGATGTTTCCCCTTGCAGTAACAGAGGGTGTTGGGAGCAAAGGGAGATGCTCAGCCTGCTTTGTCTAAGAACTTCCTGTATAGTCGAGAAATAACTTGAGATTAAAAAAATAATAATAGGGAGGTATCTTGGTTTGGCCAATGAGGAAGAACAAAGCTGGCTGCTTTTTTGAGCATCAGAGGGAAAAAGAAATTATTAACTGTGGAGCCAAAAAAGACAAGAAGTCGTATGGCTGATAGACTGCACCAATACCCTCCTGAGGAAAAAGAGAGCACTTACTAGAATTTCATCGTGCAATCCATTCAAGCATGTAATCAACTTTGTTTAAAGATCTGTTCTCAGTGGCATGTTCTAACTGTACTCTACCTCATGGATTTCTGCTTCTTGGCTTTTTCATTTCTGTGTTTCTGGCTTTTTTTCCCCTTTTTTTTCCTGGCTTTTCTGTATCTGCTTCTCTCTTGTCCTCTTTCTCCTATTGAACTCTTTTTCTGTGGCTGTGTGAGCTCATCTTTTTCACTAATTCTTTTTCCCTGTCTGAATCTTTGTCTCTCTGCAATCCTCCCACACTGTCCCTCCGTTCCTCTGTCTCTCTGTGTGTGACTCTCTCCTTAGATCGAATCTCGGAAGCGCCTTGCCAAGACAGTGCTGGTGTTCGTGGGCCTCTTTGCCTTCTGCTGGCTCCCCAACCATGTCATCTACCTGTATCGCTCCTACCACTACTCCGAGGTGGACACCTCCCTACTCCACTTCGTCACCAGCATCTGTGCCCGCCTCCTGGCCTTCACCAACTCCTGTGTGAACCCTTTTGCCCTCTACCTGCTGAGCAAGAGTTTCAGGAAACAGTTCAACACCCAGCTCCTCTGTTGCCGGCCTGGCCTGATGAGCCGGTCTCATAGCACTGGCAGAAGTACCACCTGCATGACTTCTTTCAAGAGTACCAACCCCTCTGTGGCCACCTTCAGCCTCATCAACGGAAACATCTGTCACGAGGGGTATGTCTAGACTGACCCTTGGCCCTGTCCCCCTAGGGACCCCTGGTTTTGCTTTATGGCTGGTAAGGAACCCTCACATGTGTTGTCTCTGTACCCTCCACAGACCCTTTGGAAGGCTCGTGAGTGGTGTAGGTGGGTTGGGGAGAGGCCCAAATGGATCACTGTTATGTTTGAAAGGCCCATGAAGGCTTATGTTTTCCATTTCAACTCATGAATGTTTCTTCTGATGTAGAGCAAACTTTCCCTTTTTTAGAAAAGGAAACAAATAGGAAATTATTATTTTAAGCATCAAGCCCTGATATACAGGTGTGGTCAATTAAGTCCTAGAAACTACAGTCTTGTATCATTTAACGATGGGGATACATTCTGAGAAATGTGTCGTTAGGTGATCTCATCATGTGAACATCATAGTGTACTTACACAAGCCTAGATGGTATAGCCTGCTACACACCTAGGCTATATGGTACTAACCTTATGGGACCACCCTCGTTGATGCAGTCTATCGTTGACCAAAACATCATTATGTGGCACATGGCTGCATACGAACAACCAGATTTACATAGCAGAAAAATTATATATAGAATGTCCAGTTTGTGAAAGACTTCACCTTGTCATTTCTTTAAGGAGAAGCTAGCGCTTTAAAAATATTATTTGAGTCATCTTTCAGGAATATTTATAATCACAAACGAAGGAACTTTTTTTTACACTTGTAACATGAAAAGTCAACCCTACGAAAGAATCTCATGTATAAGGGACAGTCACCAAATTCATAACACTGGAAGCCAGTTTAAAACAAATCCCTGAGGGTTGATTATTTTTAAAAGACATTGCTGAGGATATAGAAGAAACACTCGACACATCATTTTAAGGCAAAAACACAACCAAACACACTGACACGTATAAAGATCCATGTGTGGCTATGGAGTGCTATCTCCCGCTCTGAATTCTAACTCAATGGAGGTCCTTTTGGCTGTTATCCAATTTTAATCATCCATGGTGCAGTTCCACCATAAAAGAGAAATCCTTTGGGGGGAAAACTGATCATGCTATCAATTCATCAAACATTTATAAGTGCATAAAGTATAGTATTTATTTTTGGTATACAGGTATTCAGCCAAATATATTTCCTTATATTTGGCTGTCCTTGTCTGCTACATTGAAGCAGTAGTTTCATACAAGAAAAAAGGCATCATATCTGAGTGGAAATAGAAACATGTTTACATTTAACATGCTTCACCTAAAGTCTGTGGGAGGAAATGAATAAAATTTCAGTAATATGTATTTCTTTCTGAATATGTATAAGAAAGTTGATTGAAAAACAGCTACAGATGCATTGTTTCTACTTAAGAATTTATGAAACAGCTCATGCGCAGAAAAATACTGGACTTCAATCTTTTTCTTTTTCTAAGTGAGTAAAAGGATTTGACAATCTTACTTTAGAACCCTGAATCAAGTTTTTCTTGACTCAAGGATGGGCCAATTCTGACAGATTGCAAACATGCTAACCCACTTTCAGATAAATCCAAATTCTGCAAATATGCCCTAATGTGTATCTCTTACATCTTAAGACAATTTTAGTTCTGGTTTTCTCTATCCAGGTGAGATAGAACAGTCAGCTCTCTTTTCCACATGGCACATACTAAAAGGTTTTTGTCTCGGGATACGAGGAAGTACTCACTGTCTGCAGAGCATCAGAAGTTAGGACCAAGACAGTTGTAAAGATCTGTGTTTACGGTTTTGTCAGCTGGTTTCACTGCTCTTTGCTATGTGCATGTATATACTGTGCACATTTTCCTGGCAGTCCGTAATTACACTGGACAATTTGAAAAGCAAGACAGGTAGTGTAGCTGAAAGAACCAAGATTTTTAGCTTGACATCCCACCTCTGTCTCTAGCTATAGGAACTTGGCTATCAAATTCCCATCTCTAGACCCATTTTTTCATCTCTAGAATGAGAGGATGGTGCTAAGGTTCCTTCTTTGGCTAAAATCCTCTGAGTCTCATCATTGTTTCTAGTTCTGTCTCTAAAGCATTTACGTAGCCCACCTGCTACTGTTGCCCCACTTCTGCTACCTTTGGGACAACTCATTTTGGGAAATCCTTCAACCTCCTGTTCACATTAGTGGAATGGAAGGAGACAGACCATTCTATTGCTTCCGGGGGCTCCTTGGAATAATTTATAGGAATATGTCCCATTAGTTTGTTATGTTTTGGAATTACAGAGACATAAGAAAACATATTACTCAATCTCCTCATTACACAAAGGGTTATTTTCCTATTCACCCTTCTTCAACCTCTATGTGCCTATTATCTTGCACTTCTGCTCCACAATTTTACCCTTGGCTTTCTTCAAAACTCCTGAGTATAAATGACTCCATACCTAGTTAGTTGCTAAGGTGTATAGCTTTCTGGGTACCTAGCATGACTTGTTCAAGCATCTCTGATCTACCTGCTTCCAAAGACATTCTGGGAGTAGGACTCATCTTAATGTCTCCTTCAGTTAACATCATGGCATAGATTGTGTCTGGTCTCCTCCCTAGCTTCTGGACAAACAATGAGGAGATTGAAATCTAGGTCTAGCTGTGTGTCTTTAGGCAAATATTATCACCTCTTTGAGACTCTTAAATGAAAGAGTTAGAGGAGGCCTTTGCCAGTCTGTGACCTAGGACTGGTAAAACTATTTTGGGAATCAACTGATGTATTGACTCAAACCTTCTTATTGGAATGGACTTAACCGGGCTCTTCTCTAGGGAAGTCAAATTTTTATTCCACCGCAAGAACCTAAAATCACGGTGATAGAGACCCAAGCCCCCACGTAGTATCACCTCTCTGCTAGGGCAGAGTGTGGCAGGGGCTGGAGCTAAGACATTTCACGCCTGGCTTCCAAAGATAATCACGTTTAGCGCTTATGTCTTTGGCGAGGAAAAAAAAATCAATTTTTGCTATGGAAAACCATCTGTGTTTATTCAATTGACAGACAGTACCTTTCGATCTATCTTAAATTGAGCCTCCCTGAGGCAGGCAGCTCAACAGTGATAGATTAAGCAATAAACAAAGCAGTCTTCCCACCAACAGCTGCTGCAGGCAAGGAAGGTGCAGCTGCTGTTAGGAGCGATATTCCACAGCAGGATGATCTCCCTGCTTGGCGCAGACAAGGCCCCTCCCTGCTGTTGATCTGATGATTCCCCATAAATATGGATAGCTAAACCCTGTTCTTCTGGTTGTCTTCACTCCCTCATTGAACCTGGCCTTCCACCTCATTAACAACCCCTGGATTTTCCGCTTTGCTCCACAAACAATTTGGTTTCATTTTGAAGGATGGAGAACCCTTAGGTAAATAAACAGTTTAGAGGCTGCTTCACATGAACCAAGCTCTGCTTGTTATGAAAATGCACATTGAACAGAAATAAATGAACCTGTCCGTAGGACATGGGCACACTTAAGTTATAAAGTCTTCGTTTATGCCAAAAGTAGCAGTTGGTTATTGGTTTCAGAGTCTATTCATGCACAAAACAGCTTCTAGTAATAGAGATTAGCTTTGTTTGGGGACTACAAGTAGAATGACATTCTCAACCTGTGGACTAAAAGGTGGCTAAGTCACTTTTCCCGATGCCAGATAGAAACGATTGCCCTGGAAACCTGACTATATGAGAGTTGAATGAATAGTACCCACTTGTGTCATGGTGAGATGGGAGGGATGCAAACTTTCTTGCCATTTGTGCCCTTCACATCCACACCAGGAAGGAGCCATTGTTAGAGAGTAGCTTAGAATTAGCCCTGGGTTGCTGGGAGGAATGGAGCACATTTTGTACATTTACCTAATTTTTGGCTGAATTTTCATAAAATGGATTAACAGCGGAAAACAAAGGAATTATTCACTCTGCTGGGACCAAGCTTTGTGTAAGCTATTCAATGAAATCAAGCCCTAACAAGTTCTACTTTATTCTGTATCTGGATGGTCATTCCTCTCAGCACTCACTGCAACACCCCTTCCACCCTGCACCCAACACAAACACAACAAATTTAATATCAATCAATCTCTTACCATAACTTTGGCCTTCAAAGACACCCTTTTTTAGGTGGGGGTAAGCATTAACTCCAGCTGAATATATCCAGAGCAATCAACAAATAGCACACTGAGAACAGACTTTTTTCTTGTGAAACTTTGTGTTAGAAATATGTTCAGTGGAATTTATCTAATTTGTTTTAAAGTTTAAGAGTCCTTGGGTTAAAATATCACGTCTATGATTAATTCAAAAAATACTTTATATTTACCTAGAGTTCATGGTCTATAAAGCAGTTTTATACTCATCGCCTCATTGCCAAGCCTTTCCTACTGGCCAAAGAGCTGCTTTACATCCCTTACTATGGAAATTTGTAAATGACATTTACTAGTGGCCATCTACTATTAGATTAAAAGGCCCATGGAACTATGAGGCTGAAACATATGAAACTGCCGATATAGGACCATATTTGACCTACAAAAAGGTGATTTAATTTGGGTCAACTTAATGTGATTTCATTCATTCTCACGGCCTGTTCTGTGATATTGGAGAACAGTGCTGAACATTGCTTCCCCAGCTTACAGGATAGTCTGTTGTCCCCAAAGTGAGTCTGTTTAACTTGGCATAAGGGAGTGAACAGTGTTATTGTTGGTTGCCCCAGGAGAGGCATAGTAGCAGGAACAGCACTCCACGTCACAATAAAGTGGAAGGCTAAGGTAAGAAATGTGGGATCCTTGGGAGCAACAACACAAGCCACAAAACAACCTGAATGGAGGTATTTGTCTCCTCTTGGAGGTATTCAAGGTATTTGTCTGAAAGCTGAATGGAGTTCTGAGGCTCTAGATGTGCTGGAAGGAATGGGCTCAACTTCACCAAGCACCAATGATGTGCCAAATGCGGTGCTAAGCACGTTGCTCTTCATCTTCACGAGCACTTTGAAGAGTATTCAGATGATGAAGCTGAGGCTCAGGGAGATTACTGCATGATCTCAAGGTCACATGGCACAGTTGAATGGCAGAGTATTAACGTGGACCTGGATCTCTCGTAAGTCCACGTCCATTCCACTGTTCAGCGTTGCTTCCCAAATCCAGCCCATGTAAGAAATTAAGTTCACAGTACATAATAGGCAGACTTTTCCCTGCTCTAGATTTTTTCCAAGGGCCTGAACTAGTGATAGAGTCAAAGAATATACACAAAGAGCATCGAAGATGTTTCTAAGCACATAAGTTAAGGACTCCCTGTAGGCAGAGGTCGAAATGCACCACAGAGTGGGTGGGCAGGAAGTCCTTTACTTAGTTCCGTTGCCCCCAGAGACACAATTCCCAGGAAGCCTTGGGAAGAATGTCCCACCTGGTTCTGTGACTAATTGAGGAGAAAAAACCTTGGTAAAGGGCCATGTGCAGAGAGAGGACCCAAGTGAGAACATCCTAGGCATCCTTCTTTGAATCAGGATTAGATGGAGAAAAGGTGTCAGGGAGAGGTGGAACCACCCAGTCCTCTACATCCCCCTGATAAGAGTAAGAAATGACAGTGGATGGTTTCCTGGAGCCTGGAAACCCAGGCTATGTGAATAGCCTCTAACAGAAAAATATCCCCTGGACTAAGAGGCCAAGTCATGAGCTCAGGTACGGACTTAGGTATCTGAGTGCCTACCCCTAAATGCCCTGTCATAAACCCAAGACACCACCATCTCTCTGCCCTCTCTGAGCTCACATTCTAGAAGATAAGATTATTTTCCTTTTTTCCCAAATTTAAAATTCATTCCCAGAGCCACATAATGACATGGAAGGGCTCACATAATTTTAGGGTCTTTTAAAAGGATTATTTTAATGGACAGTAAAACCTCACCCATTCAACATCTCATTAATTCTCAGACAAGCTTGAAAATTTTGGTATAACGCAGGATTTCAGTGTCAAGTTACATTATATAATTTTGGCCTGTTGTGAATCCAAATTTTTTCATCACTTTGCTTCAGTTTCAGCTATTGATATTGGTATATAGATGTGGATAATATACTACATTAAGAAAGTAAAACTGATTTTCTTTAAAAAATTTACTTTCTGTAATCTGAGCTTAACTGATTCAAACAGGACCTTTCTTGCCTCCAAGTCAGCAGGGTTTTGGGTAGTAAAATTTGTTGAAATGGTCAATTCATTGAGTTGTAAAAATACATGGCACAAACTTCTTTGATGTCATTTTCTGTTTTGTTTTAAATATTAGACCCATATTTTGTAAATTATAATTGTACTCGTTACTATTAACTGTAAATATTTATTGCATTAAAAATGTGCTCTGTGTTAAATAACTCAGAACAAGTTCCAGGTGTGGTACTTCGTATAAATAATGTCATAGCTTGGCTTTGCCTAGACTCCTTAGACTAATGAATTATTTATAAGAAATTCACAATATTAATATGAATGGTTCAGATCCTTTTACATGTGCAAACTTAACTGTGTGACCATGTAGAATTCTATCTAAGAAGTGTGTTCAGTGATTGTATTCTTATTTTTCAAGAAACGTGTCTAATGATTCTATCACATTGTACATGGTCTGTATGACATTAAGTCAAATCCCATGTAGTAAGCTGAATATTCAAATTGTAGAAGATAAGAAATGTGTTTTATTTCTTAATATAATAAAGCATAATTATGAAATGGACAGATGCATGTATTCAATGTTCAATAAAAATAGAGCTGTTGCATAAATGTGCCTTGGTTCTTTGGACCATCTACATCAGAATCACCCAGGCTGCTTGTTGCAAAATGCAGATTCCCCAATTCCCTATTGACTTGGAACATCTGGGGGTGTGGCCTAAAAATCTACACTTTAAAAGAAGCACCCCAGGTGATTCTTCAGAACACTAGAGTTTTGTTTTATTAAACTTTTAAAATATGTATTTAAGGGGGGGCCAGCCCTGTGGCCTAGTGGTTAAGTTCAGCATGCTCCACTTCAGCAGCCCAGGTTTGGTTCCTGGGCGCAGACCTACACCACTCATCAGCAGCCATGCTGTGGCAGTGACCCGCATACAAAAGAGAGGAAAACTGGCACAGACATTAGCTCAGAGTGACTCTTCCTCAAGTGAAAAGAGGAAGATTGGCAACAGACATTAGCTCAGGGCGAATATTCCTCAGCAAAATAATAAATAAATAAATAAAATATGTATTTCAGTTTTGAATAAGTAAGCCATTCTTATGGTTCAAAATCGAAAGCATAGAAAGGTATTCAGTGAAAAGTCACTAGGCTACCGCTATTCCCTGTCCTCACAGTTCTCAGCATCTATCACCACCCCCTCCAGTGAGTGACGATTGTTATTAGTCTCTTATATGTGTATACTACTGGACATTTTTTATGCCTATGCAAATGAATAAAAATATGTGTTTTCCTGCATCCCACCACCATTTTACAAAAATGGTAGCATACTATATGCATTGTTTTGCCCCTTGCTTGCCTCACTACATACCATATCTTGGGGATCTTTCCATATCATCATACAAAGTTCTTCCTCATTCTTTCTTACACCTGTGTGTTACCTCCTAATTTATTTATCCAGTCCCCAAGTGATGAACATTTAGTTTGTTTCCAGTATTTTGCTATTATGAACCATGTTGCAATGAGGGTAACATATGTAATTTCATGCATGAGCAAGTGTTGCTGTAGGAAAAAATCCTAAATGTGGAATTGCAGAAACAAACAGCATATACCTTTATAACTTTGAGTTATTCCAAATTTCTCTCTATAGGGCTTGAATACCAAAGTTTGAGAGCCTCTGCTTTCTGGGATACTCCTAATCATCAGAAAGCAGGAAAGAGGCAAAGAAATGACACAACCATTGGTTGCAAATGGGGGCTATGGAAGCTCCCTGCATCCTAGGTGAGAAGTAACCAGACATGCCTATCAGATACAGTCAACAAATTCCTTGAGGGACATGCTGACAGCCATGCCAGGGGGCCCCAGGGTGTGGGGGTGTGTATAACCACCACCAGGGGGTCATCTTTGGAGAAGGCTTTCTGCTCCCCAGATATCTCAGCACCTTCCCTGCCATGCACCCCATCCCCTTGATGTATGGGGTGTATAGCCCAATTTAAACTGTAAATGCTCTCTGAAAGTGTCAAGGCATTAAATAGCAAAAAGTGATGCTTCATAATTGTGCCTAAAGTAGACCTGTATCTCTAGTTTTCCTGAATTAGGTGGGAAGATGGGCAGACTAAAATCTTTGAGACACCCAGGGCGTAAAAATCCAGATTAACATTTAAGGTTGGTCCGTGTTAATTGCCCAGAGCTCCACCCAAAGGCCAGGTGATTTTTCCTCTTAGAAAATCTGAACTCTCTCTTTGTAAGTGTGCTGCCTACCATGTCAGGAAAGAAAGCTTTATTAATTGTAATATTGAGAATTTAATATTCTCTTAGAGTTGTGGATTATTGGAGTTGGAAGACATCCTAGAGAATGCCCAGACACAACCCCACATCTCACAAATGAGGAAGTTAAAGGAAAGTGTCATGATTTGTGTTTCCACATGGTCATCAAAATTGGGGAAAATGAAAATTAACTGGCTTGGAGATAAGGTGGATGAGGAGAGGTTCATCAGGCCCTTCTGCTAGAGGGAAGACGAATCTACGCAGGACTATCCTGTAACACACCAGGCAGAGAACCTTCCTGTTCATTGGGTTCAACATTGATAAACAATGGCTTCTAATACAAAAAGAGATGGGATAACATCTTGTCAAGAAAATGAAACGAGAGCGGGAGTCCTGTCCCTTGAACATGGACTGAACTGTGCTCACTATTATAAAAAGGAATCTCTAAAAGCACATCCTCCTTCCCAGAGCTGAGATCAGGGAAGTCAAGCATTTTGCTCCAGATCACTTGTCAACTTTGACACCTAACCAGTGTTTCCCAGTGTCCCTTCCCACTGTCCATGACAGCCCAGTGCTCCTCAATGCCTCTCAGTGGGACTGGACTAGGTCTGACTCACTGTTTGCTAAGATAGTCTATGTTGGTGTATCCACTCTTGAGGAGTCTTCCAGGATACTGCTACTTAGAGTATAGCCTGTGGACCAGCAGTGTTGCCATCACCTGGTAGCTGGTTAAAAATGTAGACTCTTGTGCCCCACCTCAGACCTACTGCATCAGAATTTTAACAGATCCTATGCATATTAAATTTGTGACCACTGATGGAGGACATCATTTACTGTGAAGAAATCCATATTGGGCTTGATACTTTCTTTATGCCGTCTGGTGGTGTCTACACATTTCCCCAAACCTTCTGGGTGGAGAGCCTTGGAATCCCTTTACTGATGTGGCCTGTGTTCACCACCTTAGTCATTTGGACATAAACTCTGTCCATACAGAGTGGCAAGATCCCCCAGTGCCCCATCCCTGCTCTCCAAGGACTGGGAGTACATGAATGCAGAACTTCAACCTTGTAGGACTGCTCAATCCTATCGGCCTAGAGCCATCTTGGAACTCACCACACAATTGATCGTTTTTCCTTTCTTGTGGTACACAAATGAGGTCAACCAACAGCGGCCATTGTCTGTTGTACTCAAGTCATGCCTTGCCCAGAAAGACTAATTTTACCTGATAGCAACTAATGGGACATGTCATGCTTCCTAAGTTCCCATGAGAAACCTTTGTCCAAAAAAAAATTGTATCTGCTTGTTGTTCACTGTTTTTTTCAAAGAACTGAGATTTATCTGCTCATTAAACTCACCTCAAAGACAGTATTGGGCTTCTGATTAGATGTTGTTGTTCCAATTTTATCTAAGTCAGAAGAGGTTGTTAAAAGGTCCAGCGTACCTGCCCTCACAGAAGCAGAATCCTGACTGCGAGCAAAACCTTCTTTGCTGTTCCTTTAAAGCAGGAGGGTGCAGTTCTGCTTGCACAAATGAAAAAGGAAAACATCTCACAAGCCAAGGGCTAAAACCAGTTGGGTCCTATCTGAATGTTGTGAAGGAGGGCAGCAACCTCCTTACTGGTCTCTTGGTCTCATGGTGTCTTGAAATTTCTGTCCTGTTGCACATTTTAAGAGAACATAGAAAAAGAGTCACTCCAAATTGTGCAGGTGCCTAATAATAAAGGCCAGTCCCACTTTGATGCCAACTGGTTATTTATATTCAAAACCAAAATTATTCTCTCTCAAGATCTCACCTCTTTTTCGGTCCCCTTTGCCTTCTAATGGCTGTCAAAAATCCCCCAAATTGTCGAAACTCAAAACCTTACCATCATCTCTGCCTCCATCCATTCAGTATCATCCACATCCAACTAGCCCCCAGGGTCTGCAAATATCCCTCCAAAATGTCTCAGGTATAAGAATCCATCTCCTAAAGGCTATATTCATCCAGTTGAAAGATGATACTTCCTCACTCATGGGTAAACAGCTGCTGGTCTGAGCACCCAGGTGCCTCCCTGCAGCCTTAACTTCTCCTCCAGGACCCCATACTTCTCCATGATCCAGAAGGGTTAAGCCCCCAGAGCTGGGGTCTCCTGGACTGGATAGTGGATGCCTTTCTGATGGGTTGGTACTCATGTCATGCTCAAGTTGTTATAATTTGACCCTCCCCCCTGAATCCACTTAGCCACGTCACTGCCCTAGATAAGATATGCTCCTTGTTTTGCTTACACTTTTTCAAATAGTCCCTAATGGGCTCTTATTTTTATTTATTCTTCACATTTCTTTTAGATTATGCTTCCTATGCACACCTCTGATCATGTTGCTCTCATGCCCACATTCTGTTATTGGCCCCTTTTCCTAGGACAAAATCCAACTTCTCTGATGTGGATGTCAACTCCCTACTTCCCAGGCTTATCTCCCACTGCACTACCCCTTCCCCCGGCACCTAGAGAGCGCTTCCATTCACACTTTGCTCCTAATCATTCCCTGACATTTCTTTGGCCCAGTGCTTCTCCACCTGGGCTGCCCTTAGAATCACCTGGGGAGCTTTAAAAAATCCTGATGCCCAGGCCCTGACCTAGAACAACTGAGTTCTCTGGGAGGGGAGAACCAGGCATCCCTATTTCAAATCTCCCCAAGTAATAGCAATGAGAAGACAAGGTTGAGGAGCACCTCAACTGAAATGTCCTCTTGTACCTCAGCTGGCCTGAATCCAACCCATTCCTCAAAGCACAGCAACAATGTTCTCTCTCCGTGAAGCTTTCCTGCTCTCCTGTGCTAACACAGCACTTTCTACATGGGGCCCAGCTTTTATCATGTCCTGCTTTGAATTATATTTACTTGTGTGAATGCTGGTCTCTCCCACTAGATCAGGGATTGGCAAGCATTTTCTGTAAAGGGCCAGATAGTAAATATTTTAGGCATTGTGGAACATATAGTCTCTCTTAAGACTACTCAATTCTGCCATTGTAGTATGAAAGCAGCCATAGATAACATGCAAATGAATGAATGTGGGTGCGTTCTAACAAATCTGTATTTGTGAAAACAGGTGGTGGGCTAGATTTAGCCTGAGAGCCATAGTTGCTGACCCCTCATGAGACTAATAGAGTGCTTCAGAGACAGGAATCTTTTCTTTTTTTTTTCCTTCCTTTCTTCTTTCCTTCCTTCCTCCCCTCCTTCCTTTCTTCTTCTTCTTCTACTTATTCTCTCTCTCTTTCTTTCCTTCCTTCTTTCCATCCCTAGTGTCTATTACAGTGCCTGAATCAATGAGAGAAACTCACAGAATTCCCTTTGTGCAGCTCTGTATGGTTAGTCTCTCACAACCACAGCCTACAGCATGGGTAGGCAAAGTGAAGCAGGAAGAGTCAGAGTTATCAATTCTGCCTTTTAGGCAAATATTAATATTTGCCTTCCTTATCTAGCATTGTCAAATAAACAATTTCCATGTGCAGTGCACAGAGGCACTCCTCAACAGTGAAAATGCATTCCTATGCCAGGACTGATTTTCCAGCTGTACTTGGATTCCCTTCTACCATGCTGTGGGCTGGTGAGCACCTTGAGGTTAATAAGGTGCAAGCATCTGACTAGAGATCAGTGTCTGTAAGAGGCAGCTGTCCAATTTGAACACCCAAACTGTAGGCAAACACCCTGATTAGCAGCATCAACTGATGTTGACATAATTCACTATTATTAAAAAAATTATGCCTGCTCCAGACATGAATGAAAGGAACCAGGGCTCCCTGGCCTGTAACCACAGACAGGTGCACCTTCTAAGAGCTCCTTAAGGTACATCACTCTGGGTGGTCAAACTCGTTACAAGGTGTCTTAGTCCATTCGGGCTACTATAACAAAAATGCCATTGACTGGGTAGCTTACAAACAACAAAAATTTCTCATAGTTCCATAGGCTGGGAAGTCCAAGATCAAGGTGCTGGCAAATTCAATGATTGGTGAGAGCCTGCTTCCTCGTTCAGAGATGGTGACTTTTCGCTGTGTCCTCACCCAGTGGAAGGGGCAAGGGAGATTTCTTGGGCTGCTTTTATAAGGTATTAATCCCATTCATGAGGACCCCACCGTCATGATGTAATCAACTCCCAAAGCCCCACCTTCTAATACCATCACCTTGGGGGCTAAAGTTTCAACATATGAATCTAGGTGTTGGGAGGTGACACAAATATTCAGTTCATAGCATAGGGGTTCATTTTTATTAGGAAATATGCTGGTGAAAGACATGCAGAGACAAAAGTAATCTTTCTACTGCACAGTCCCCATGTTATGGCTTATTTTAAATAAAACTACTCCCACACTATCCCACTCATGCCAGCCTTGTATCTCTTAATTCACATGTCTTTTCCCTACTCCAAAAATGTATCTCAGGCAGTAAGAAGAAAAATTGTGTACAAACTACTAGATTGGAATCCATAACCAGAGCAATGGAATATCAAAATAAGTAAAAATTATTCAGAGATAGTATGATCATCTACATATGCAATGTCAGATCACCTCAATAGATAGAGGCTCACAACATCATGCAGCTCCACTCCTGCCTTGTGGAAAGCCAATCTGTTAGAACCAAAGTTACATAAGAGGCTAGGTCTGATTGGTGAAGAGAAGGAATAGATCAAATTGGCTTTTCTCCGACAGCACAACACCTGTCCTGGGCACGCTACCTTGAGCTACAGCTGCCTCACCTCGCATCACTCCCGTGACACTGATCCTGTCTGCAAGGTCTGCAGTAGGAAACTGCTCAAGAGTTTTCAGGGATGTAGCATTTTCCAGGAAGCCTTTAATCTGGGAGGCAGAAGCCAAGATGCAGATCCCCACGTAGGAGGACTGGGGAGACCAACACTCCAGAGTATAGTCAACCCACAGAGACCAGCCTATGGCTGCTCGAAGACCTATAGGGTCCCAGGCATGCCTGTGAGCATCCCCTTAATTATCCTTCAGGGTTCTCAGGAGCATGAGGGCCTTGATCTAAGGAGGGTGACCTCAGATCAGTAGATGAGGGAGTACAAGCCTCTGATAGACTTCAAGGTGAGAACCCTGAATAAGGAATGAGGGAAGGACCCAGCCAGAACAGTGGGGTCCCATAGAGTTCTGCCCTGCCTGTCCCCATTGGAGGTCTGGAACAGTTGTGGCTAGATCTGGCTCACACTGACTTCTAATTCTGTAGTCTCAGGAGGTGAGGGCCTTGATCTGAGTGGTACAGCCTCAGTTCCTCCCAGAGTGGAGCCCCAGGACTAGTCAGGTGCCAAGGTGATGAATTTTAGGGAGGAATGAGGGAATTACCCACACTCGAACAGAGGAAGCACCACAAAGTTCCTCCCCCTCTTGTGACCTAGGAGGCCCAGGCAGAGTTGTCAGGTTGAGGAGCCCCCTCATTTCTGCCTGCAGGCTCTCAGGGAGAGGAGGCCCTTGGTCTAGTGGGAGTGGACCCCAATTCTGCAGAACAAGTAGACCCAGGAACTAACAGGACTTAAGGTGAGGACCTAGTGATATGAGGGAACGCCCGCCAGCCGAGAGAGACACACATCCCTAGCGCTCTGTTCTTAGTCAGGAAGCGGAGCAGAGCGCTCAGCTCAGGAGCTCCTCATTTCTGCGTGGAAGGTATCGGAAAGGGAGGGCCTCCGTAGCGAGGCAGCAGCCCCAGTTATGCAGGGGCAAGAGTTTGGGCCTTCATTGGAGTTCAGGTGGGGACCTTGAATACTAAAGAGAAGACCTCTCCCCAAAAGATGAGGCCACCCAGAGCCCAGCCCCTGGGAATCCTGGGCAGGGGAGTCAAACGTCGTGCGGCCGAACTTTCCTCTCTAGGGACTCGCGGAGGGTGTAAGATTGGTGGACTCAAGTTAGTAGGGGGCGGAGTCTCAGGCTCGGATTGATATCATTGGCTTTCCGTTGAACCGCCGCTGCTGACAGCCCTCAGAGACCCCTAGCAGCCTTGGCCGGATGAGGCTCACTCTCACTTCCGGTCTGGAAGTTTCGGGAAGCTGAGGGCGTGGTCTGAGGGAGGAGACTTCAGGTCAGTGGAGATCGGAATTCCAGGCCTGGTCAGATATCGAGGTAAGTAAGGACCTTGAATGTGGACCTAAGTACTTGACTACCCTGCTCTTCACCAAGGGAGCCCCACAAAGTCCTACCCTAGCGTCAGCATGGGAAGGTCCCGGGACACTTATTGGGCATACTTGTGTGTGGAGGGCACTACGGGGGAGAAGGCCTTGGTCTGAGTGCAGCGGCTGCAGTTAGACTGAAGGAGGAAACCAGAGATCTAACTGGAGTCGTAGTGAGACCCTGAGTGCTAATGAGGGGACATATCCCCCAAAAGGGGGGGGGGGGGGCGGTAAGGCGCAGCAGCGACCGAGACTGGGAGCGCCAGGCAGGAATAGCCAGATGCGGCTCCTGCACTTCCTCTCTAGTGCCTACGGGAAGTGAGGGCTTGGGTGTGAGGCTAACGGATCCAGATCAGTAGAGGGAGGAGTCCCAGGCTTGATACATATCAGTGCGGTCTCAAACAGTCCCGCCCTTGCCGTTAGCTCTCAGAGGCCCCGTACAGCCTTGGACGGATGAGTGTCACCTTGACTTTCACCTCAGGGAACCCGGAAGGTGAGGACCCGTAGCATCCCACTTCTGTTCTCAGGCTTTGTAGGCCCCAAACATCTTTGGCAGGATGTGGCTCACCCTGAACTTCAAACTCTGAGGTTTTGTTTAAACAAGGACCTTGGTGTGAAGGGCGTGGTCTCAGGTCCACCGAAGGTGGAGTCCCAGGACCGGTCAGATGTCCAGACGAAGATCCCGTGCAGGGAAATGGGGACCAGTCAACCCCCAATGGAGCAGGCTACACCAAGCCCCACCCCTGACAGGCCCAGGGCAGAGCTGACAGATTCAAGTGTCTCCTGACTTCAGCTTGCAAGGTTTCGGTAGATGAGGGTCTTGGTTTAAGGACTGGCTGCCCCAGTTCAGCAGAGAAAGGAGTCCCAGGCCCTGTTGGGAGTGCAGGTAAAAATCCTGCATGAGGAATAAGGAAAACAACCACTTCAGAACAGAGGAGGCTGCATACAGTCTCACCTCTGTTGTTGACCTGGAAAGCCACGAGCAGAGGTATCAGGGCCAGGTAACTCCTCATTTCCTGGGAGTGGGGGATGGGGCGTTCTTAGAGAGGAACGGAGAAGTGAGGGTCTTGGTCTGAGGAGAGTGGTCCCAGGCAGGGCTAGCAGGTGGCAGCCTAAGGCACACTCTGACCTTCTCCACAGGGTCTTCAGGGGTCAGGCTGACCAAGAGAAAAGGAGCCCTGTGGGGTCCTAGAGCAGTGCCCTCCAGGACACCTGCAGAGGGGCATTCTTAGAGCCACGATGGCATCTCCCTGCTGTAGGATGTCACACCCTCTTATCCTCCTCCTCCAGGTGCCCACATCACGTGCCTTCTGGTCACGCTTCTGCCTGCTGTTGCTAACCACAGTCATGCCTCGCGGTCAGAAGAGTAAGCTCCGTGCCCGTGAGAAACGTCGCCAGGCCCGAGGTCAGGAACGGGGTCTCAGGAGTGCTCAGGCCACTGCAGCACTGGAAGAAGAGTCCCCCTCCTCCTCCTCGCCTGTTTCTGGGGGTACTCCCCCGAGCTCCCCTGCTGCAGGCACTTCCCAGCAGTCTCAGAGAGCCCGATCCATCAGCTCTCTGGCTGCAGCCGCTTTCTATGCAAGTTCTGATGAAAGTGCCGAGGAGGAAAATCCAAGTTCCTCCCGAGCCCCACCCTCCCCTGAGAGCTCACGCAGAGAGCCTCTGACCAGGAAGGCAGGCAGGTTGGTGCAGTTTTTGCTGCACAAGTATAGAATTAAGGAGCCCATTACAAAGGCAGAGATGCTGAAGATTGTCAACAAAAAGTACAAGAAGCGATTCCCTGAAATCCTCCAGAGAACCGTTGAGCACCTGGAGCTGGTCTTTGGCCTTGACCTGAAGGAAATCAACAGTAGCAGTCAGTCTTATGTCCTTGTCAGCAAACTCCATCTTCCTGATGAAGGGGGTCCGAGCGATTGCATGAGCTTTCCCAAGAATGGGCTCCTGATGCCTCTCCTGGGTGTGATCTTCATGAATGGCAACCGCACCACTGAGGAGGAGATGTGGGAATTCCTGAAGGTGTTAGGGGTCTATGAAGGAAGGAAGCACTTCATCTTCGGGGAGCCCAGGAAGCTCATCACTCAAGATTTGGTGGAGCAAAAGTACCTGGAGTACCGGCTGGTGCCCAACAGTGATCCTCCACGCTATGAATTCCTGTGGGGTCCAAGAGCCTACGCTGAAACCAGCAAAATGAAAGTCCTGGAGTTCTTGGCAAAGGTCAATCACACCGTCCCCAGTTCCTTCCGGGGCCGGTACGAGGAGGCGTTGAGAGATGAGGAAGAGCGAGCTCGAGCCAGAGTTGCGGCCAGGGCCCGCTCCAGGGCAACGTCCAGCAGCTCCTCCCATTCCTAGTGAAGTCTGAGGCAGAGTCTTCACCTTGAAGTTGAAAAGGGCTGTCAACCTTCTAAGTAATGAGGGGCAAGGTGGGGCTGGAGAGAACACAATATAGCTCTTCTTTGTGTTCTAGTTATTTATAAGTAACTTATAGATTTACCTTTTTTCCTTTATTTTTCCATTGTGTTCCTGTTAAAAAGGTTTATTTAGATTCAGAATCTGTTTATGAATAACATGGCTCACACATTTATTGCTGTTTATCAAGTTTGAGAGTAATAGTTTTGTATTTTGTAAAACAAATTGAAAATCCTTGCATCTCTTATTGTGATCCAGCACCAGAAAACATAGCATTGGAATAGAGATCTTTAAAATGTGAAAGAGCCTCACAGTGAAATAGTTGGGATAACGAGATAGTGCAAAAAAAAAAAAGTAAGAAGTGGTTAATTCTTAGTTTTCTTTATTCATTTTACTCTTTCTTTTGGTAAAATTAAAAGATATATACCTGGATTTGCTTAGCTTATTCAAGAATGTGGGAGAAAATAAATTGTCATAAATTAGAACACTTGTTCACTGTCTCTTTTGTTCCCGGAACATGAATTGCAATCTGCTCTTTGGAAGGCTTCATGCTAGTTCTGGGGGTGTGTGGACAAAGAAGACCCAGCCCCTGCCAATAACATTTGAGACCCAAGAGAAGCTATCGTTTAAGGAACATGGCGAGATACACTCCCAACCCTGAAGGACAGTAAATGGAAGGGATAAGGAGGGAGGAGATTCCAGATAAGAACAGTCCAGTGAAAAGGCCCTGAGACCAGGCAGGTTGGGAGCTTGGGAAACTGCCAGTCCTTCTGTGGGAGGGAACTTGAAGTTCGCCTGCATCCTGCACCAAGGGTTAGATGAGGCTGTTAAAATGGTGAGCAGGGCCCAGACCCTCAGGTGGTGGGTCTCAGAGTGGAGAGACTACACCCGCAATGGACAACTGCTCTTGACGGTTCCTTAGGGAGGTGAAAAACCAAAGGGAAATCCCGCCCACCTGGGGCGGGATTGGGAGGACTGCTGTGCTCTGTCCCGGGCAGGTGAACACAGTGCACGAACTAGGTGTTTTGTGCATTTGTGTCCAGGGAGTTTCTGAGAATAAGGATGATAGTCAGCAGCCACTAGGCTGGCTCACTTTGCCCTGAACTGGGGGAGTGGAGGGGGAACCTTGACCACTCCATTAGAAGGGAACTCAAATTGGGCATTTTTCTGTGTAATATGGCGAACTCTAAGCAAGGTCTAGCTTTTTGGTGGTGGTGAAATGAATGAAAACAGGGACGGGTTCAATGCAAGGGCAGCCGGGTGGGAGGAAATCGTTGGTCCTTTGCACACCTTTAGTAGCTTCAGGGTGCATCTACTGGGGAAGGTGACCTCATGCCCACATCAAATGACTGATCATCTACTTAGTTTTATTTACTAAGGAGCATTTTGGCTGATTTGGGGTTTTTTGTCCTAGAATATTACATATTCTCTGACTCCTCCTTGATTAAAAAAAAAAATCCCAGGGCCGGCCCCGTGGCTTAGTGGTTAAGTGTGCGCGCTCCGCTGCTGGCAGCCCGGGTTCGGATCCCGGGCGCGCACCGAGGCACTGCTTCTCTGGCCATGCCTAGGCCGCGTCCCACATACAGCAACTAGAAGGAAGTGCAACTATGACATACAACTATCTACTGGGGCTTTGGGGGAAAATAAATAAATAAAATTGTATAAAAAAAAGTCTATTTAAAAGGAAAAAAATTTAAAAAAAAAAAAAAATCCCAGTGTGGTACATGGTATTGTCTGCAGTCAAAATAATCATAGTAATAACTGCCATTTTAAAAAAAAACCTCACTACTTGCCAGGCATTGTGCTGGGTTTGCAGTATATACTCCATACATCTGTCAGTCTTAGAAGACAGGGCTTGTCAGACCTGCTTCACAGATGAAGAACCTGAGGCTTGTAGACTTTGCTAGTGGGCCTGAGTTCACACTGCTGGTAAGTGGCAGGGCCAATACTAGACCTACGGTCTGAATTTGTTTAGAACCCACACTATCCCACTCCTCCCAGCCTGAGGCAGATGCTGTGTCATAATTCACATTTCTTTTCACTACTCTGAGTTGTATCTCAGGCAATAAAGAAGGCTCTGTGCACAAACTACTGGTTTGGAATCCACAGCCAAAGCAATAGAATATCAAAATAAGTGGGTGGTATGAATAAAGAAAAAAAATGTTCGGAAACAGTATGATCATCTACATATACAATGTCAGATCACCTCAATATATAGGAGCTCACAACATCATGCAGCTCCACTCCTGCCTTGTGGAAAGCCAATCTGTTAGAACCAAAGTTATGTAAGAGGCTAGGTCTGAATGGTGAAGAGAAGGAATAGATCAACTGGCCTTTTCTCTGACAGCACAACACGTGTCCTGGGCACGCTGCCTTCAGCTACAGCTGCCCCACCTCGCATCACTCCCGTGACACTGATCCTGTCTGCAAGGTCTGCAGTAGGAAACTGCTCAAGAGTTTTCAGGGATGTAGCATTTCCCAGAAAGCCTTTAATCTGGGAGGCAGGAGCCGAGATGCGGATCTCCACCTAGGAAGACTGGGGAGACCAACACTCCAGAATGTAGGTGGTCTCGCCATGACTAACCCACAGCTGCCTCAGACCTAGAGGGCTCCAGGCGGGGCTGATCATCCACTCGTCCTTCAGGGTTCTCAGGAACAAGAGAGCCTTGGTTGAAGGACGGCAACCTCAGGTCACTAGAGGGAGGAGTGCTAGCCTGATAAACATCAAGGTGAAGGCCCAGAAGGACGGAATGAGGGGAGGACTCGGCCAGAACAGTGGGGTCTGGTAGAGTCCTGCCCTGGCTGTCAGCCCTTGGAAGTCTGGAACAGTTATGGCTGGATTTGGCTCACCCTGACTTCAAAATCTGTGGTTCCAGGAAGGTGAGGATCTTGATCTGAGGGGAGCAGCCCCAGGTCAGCTGAGGGTAGCATCCCAAAGTTGGGCCTGACACCACAGTGCTGGGTGTTGTGGTGAGGATGGTGAATGAGGAGTGAGGGAACCACCCATCCCAGAACATGGGAGGCCCCACAAATCTCCCCTGACTCTCGCCCCAGATGGCTACCCTGGGAGGCCCAAGGAAGAGTTGTCAGGTAGAGGAGCCCCCTCATTTCTGTCTGGAGCGTCGTAGGGAGAGGAGGGCTTTGGTCTAGTGGGGGCGACCCCCAGTTCTGCAGAGGTGGAGACACAGGAACTAACAGGAATTAAGGTTAGGACTCTGAATGATATGAGGGGATACCCACCAGCAGAGAGGTTAGCACAGGGACCCGCATGTTCTGATCCCTGGAATGCCTAGGGCAGAGCCCTCAGCTCAGGAGCCCTTCATTTTTGCTTGGAGAGTCACAGAGATGGGAGGGCCTTGGTATAAGGGGGCATCCTCGTTTTGCAAAGGGAGGAGTTTTGGCCCTACTTGGTGTCCAAGTGAGGACCTTGAGTACTAATGACAGGACCTCACCCCAAAACAGGGGGCTTCCTAGAGCCCCGCCTCTGCTCTGGGCCTTGGGAGGCCTGAGGCAGGGGTAGACTGATGTGCCACACCCAACAACCTAGAGACTCAGGGGTGTGAGGACTGATGGCTGATGGGCCCAGATCAGTAGAGGGAGGCGTCTCAGGCTTTGATACATATCAGTGGGGCTCCATACAGTCCTGCCTCTGCCGCCAGCCCTGGGATGCCCCTTACATCCAAGGCTAGTTGTGGCTCACCCTGACTTTTGCCTCCAGCAACCCAGAAGGTGAGCACCCTGGTCTGAGGGGCACGGACTCAGGAAAGTGGAGGGCGGAGTTCCAGGACTGGTCAGGTTTCTAGGCGGGGACCCTGAATGTTGACTGAAGAGATCAACCCCTCCCAATTTTTTTAATTGGTAAAAATATATATATGTGCTAATATATATATATAATGCAAAAATATATTATATAATATATAGTTTATATATATATACAATCAAGTAATCTTGTTAAACTCTCTTATTAATTTTCATTTATATGTGCATGGTTTAGGCTTTTCTATAAACATAATCACATCCCCTGTGAGAAATGATATTTTATTTCTTTCTTTCCAATTCTTCCTTATGTTTCTTTTTCTTGCCCTGCTACACCGACCAGGACATCAGCATAATGTTGAATGGAAGTAATAAGTGAGCTGCTCACCTTGTATCTGAACTCAGAGGGAAGGCTTCCAGGATGTCCTCATTGACTATGATGTTTGCTGTAGTTTTTTGTATTAGGTTGGAAGATATAAAAATTGGTAACATTTGACCATTTTTGACTTGCAAGAAAAGCAATTTCGTATGTTTTAACCTAATAGGTGCTCTTACCAGGTTAAGGTAGTTTCCTCCTATTCTGATGTTTTTTAAAGGTTTGGGGTAATTTTTTATATTATGAATGATGCTGATTTTTTTCAAATGCTTTTTCTGCATCTACTGAGTGAACATATGATATTTTAATGTTTTCTTGTTAATGATTGATTTCTAAACACTAAAACAATCTTGTGTTTCTGGATTAAACCCAAAATTTCTTGTTTAATATTATGTATTTATGTTCTGGAATGAACATGTCCTGTGAACATGATTATGAATTCGTATTGAATGCATTATGAGTTGTCTTTGATTTTGTTTTATTATACTGTGTGTTCAAATATTACCAGTGCCCATTTGCTCTATCTTTGCCATCTATAATTCTGATTAGACGTGTATTAGTCTTCTCACACTATTCTCCATGTCTTTTAACCTCTCTGCCTCATTTTCCTTGTGTTTGTTTTTCTGTGATGGATTCTAGTTAATTTCTTCAGATAAAGCTTCCATTCTATTAGTTTTTTCCTTCAAACTGGTCTAATTTTTGTTAAACTCTTTTTTTGAGTTATTTATTTTAAGTTCTAAAAGCTCTATTTCAAATCTGCTTGGCCGTTTTTCACAGGTTCTTACCCTCTGCATGTATTTTTAAAATTATC